CATAGTCAACTTTTCCAATCATTATCAGACCTTATGGATACAACCCCTTTCGAATCACACACTAATCATGTCATTAAAACCGCTATCTACTTAGCTTTCTATGGGTTCCTCAGACCCTGAGAGTTTACCACTACAAACATCACATCCCAAGACAGCATTAAAGGACAACTATAGTGCCAGGAAAACATACTCGTTTTCCTGGCACTATAGTGCCCTGAGGATGCCCCCACCCTCAGGGACCCCCTCCCGCCGGGCTCTGGAGAGAGGAAGGGGTTAAACACTTACCTTTCTCCAGCGCCGGGCGGGGAGCTGTACTCCTCCTCTCCTCCTTGCTCGCGACGTCATCGGCTGAATGCGCATGCGCGGCTGGAGCTGCGCGCGCATTCAGCCGGTCGCATAGGAAAGCATTTACAATGTTTTCCTATGGACGCTTGCGTGCTCTCACTGTGATTTTCACAGTGAGAAGCACGCAAGCGCCTCTAGCGGCTGTCAATGAGACAGCCAATAGAGGCTCTGGAGGCTGGATTAACCCTCAGTATAAACATAGCAGTTTCTCTGAAACTGCTATGTTTATAAAAAAAAGGGTTAATCCTAGAGGGACCTGGCACCCAGACCACTTCATAAAGCTGAAGTGGTCTGGGTGCCTAGAGTGGTCCTTTAAGAGATCCCAGATTATCAAAATACAAGATCACTACTTATTATCCCTCAACCACACAGAGAAATCAACTGGTAAAGATCCCCTATTACCCTACCAGCAACAAATTGGAACCTTGCCCGACTACTCTCCTGGATTTGCCCTTGTCTGTTTCTTCGGTCACGATTATTGTTCCTGCCAAGACCCCAGGCACAGATTTACAGCCCAGGTAGCTTCTTACCTGGTTATCATGGTGTAACGGAGCTCCCTGTACCCCGGCTGGGTACCTCCGCCAAGGACCGCTTCCTAGCTTGAATAGGGGACAAACTTCAGCACTTCTGCCCCCAGTAGCGGTGACCTGACTGGGGTTCTGGAACCCCTCCATCCTGGATGAACTCGCTCTATCGATTCCCAGGCACTAGACGGCACACAGTCCTGGGAGCTGTAGTCCTTACAAGGACTTTCCCAGCTGAATCCTCCACACTGGAACAAGCTGGAGTAGTGATTAGCCCTTTCCCCTCCCAGTAACTAGACGACACATAGTTCTGGGAGTAAAAGCTAAAATCCTTTGATCTGGCCAGATTGCCTGCATTTTTCTACATTTATGGTCAAAAACGCCAATGATACTTCTACACAAAACAGGATAATCCCTCCCCTGTGCATGGGAGATAATGGAGTCAGGAACTGTACAAACTCAATTATCTCCAGGTACAGAAAAACATACAATTTATAAAATACACAAAACCCCCAAAAATATTACATCCCCTGATAGCTCCGATCTGGATGACCAACATATGTGGAACTGCAGCAGTCATAAGACACCATGTGCAAATGCAATTACAGAGGAGCTCTTTGCACCATAACCACAAAAGTGAGCATAGGTTGTTATTGTGCTTAGAATGATTTTTTTGAAAAATATTAATGAACAAACAATGTTACACACAAGTTGCAGAGGATAAAAATCTAATACATTTACATGTAAAAGACATTAACAGATTATGATTATTATATGGTATAATATTCATTATCATATTTACATATAAAGTAATTGTTAGTTAACCCACACAAAAGAAATACATCCTCTATTGAAATATGTACACATAAGAGGAAGAAAGAACAAAATAATTTAACATCTAGCACATTCAACATAACACAAAATGAAAATAATCCTCTATGTTTGCAAACATAAATGTGGGGTTAATTGGTTTCTGAGGTGTCTAAAACTGCTTTGATAGAGCAAAAGCAATTGTCAACTTGTAAATTAAAAACAATGATAGATAGATAGATAGATAGATAGATAGATAGATAGATAGATAGATAGAGTCTATACATCCTGTAAACTTTGTTTTTGACTCTTTTGAAATAAAGAATGTTTAACAAAAATTAACACAAATCACAAGTTCCCAAAAATGAAGATACCCCATGCAGCGTAGCTACTTATATCAGGGTTATTCACTAAAGTGAGTATATTTGAGAATTCAAAGCAAATTTCAAATTTAAGGCCAAAATAATTGAATTTGATAAAAATATCCAAATCAGCTACTTTGGCCTTCAATTTGAATTTCACTTTCAATTCATTTTGAATTTTTGACGACAGCCATGTTAAAAAAAAATAAAAAAAAAATACATGATTGCAGAACATTTAATGAGGTTTATTTACATAATTATATGACTGGCAAACTTGACTTTACATCATAAAAATGTTTTGAAAATGATGGTTGAAAATTATTCACGTTTTGTGAGTCACTCAGCCAAACACAGTATTCCAAATTGATATTGCTTCGAAGTATAGCTTCTGCATAGGCAACAATGCCAAACAACAATAGTTCCCTGAAGGAGACATGCCTCCTAATCATACCGATTTTTGCCAGACAGTCCAGATTTTTGGGTCACGTCCCCCCCCATCTTAATTTTGTTTCCTTGTGTCTCGCTTTTTAGGTCCCAAAGTTAAGTGTCCCCAAAAACAAAATTTTTTACTTACCATAAATTTATTTTTCCGGAAGATTAGAGGCAGTGCTTTACATCTGGGATTTCTGATCTGGAGGGAAAAAAAAAAGGCAGACAGGCAACTTTTTAAGAACCCCCCCCAATTAACATTTGGACCTATAAATTGGGGGGGGGGGGGAGGGAGGGGAAGGAGTGAGCACTGCCTCTAATCTTCCGGAAAAATAAATTTACAATAAGTTAAAATTTTTGTTTTTCCCCTCAGAATAGAGGCAGTGCTTTACATCTCGGATAAAGCAAAGCAATCCCCTAAGGGACGGACTGATTACACAACGGCATGCAACAACCTGCGCCCAAAGCTGCGTCTTCCGAGGTCAACAGGCCTAACTGTAAAGATTAGCAAATGTGTGAATAATTCAGCATAAGGCTGAAGAAAATTATGAGAAGGTATAGCAGAAGCCCTCTGGGCACAAGATGTGAACATTGCTCTGATTGAAGGAGTTTCAATGGAGATAGTTGTTAGATAGTTGTTAGATGAGAAAAGAAAAACAAAACCAAACAAATGCAGACCTTTACTCTCTGGCTGGATCCTGTAGAAGAGGCTGGTCCACTTATGCTTTTAAGGTACCGCAGCAGGGAACTAAGTGTCCAGGCAGTGGAATTTGAATTCTAAGGCTCTAGAAAGCTGCTGTGAAAAGTTGGCAAATTAATGATAGACGGAAGATCGGGAAGTTTTGAAGGATCCAACTTAAACACCACTTTGTCCTGATGAAAATTGGAAAAATCTGCAGAGCTAGAAGTTCTTCCAAAAAAAAAAAAAAAAATTGGGGGTGATTACCCCCAAAGACCTTGAGCGAAGACTCAACATCAGCAGAGCTGAAAAACCCAAAGAAGACCCCTTGGAGGAAAGATTCCCTTAAGATAGGAACCAACCGAGACAACGCATTGAAAATTCTGGTGATTTAAGAATACGGAGCCAAACCGCTAAAATTCAGCAGATAACCGAAATTTGGACCTAGAGGATATCTGGAATTAATCCATCTGCAAAGCCCATCAGAAGAAATTTAGAGACATAAAAAAATTAAAAAAAATAAAAATAAAAAGGAAGCGGTTGCCGGATTTTCTTTGAACCAATACATAAAAAACAACACCTTCCAAACTTGGAATAAATCCAAGATCCATTTGACAGAAAATTCAAAATGTCCATAATTCATGAGTAGTGATGTCCCGAACGGTTCGCCGCGGACTCATCATTCCAGCCAATCAGCAGCAGACCCTCCCTCCCAGACCCTCCCAATAAAAGATTAAGGTTACAATGAACCTGCTACTACATATATAGGGCTTCACATAGAGTAATAATTACAAACATTAGCTACACATGTAGCACTAATTAAAATGCAGTTACCTTATATGGTCCGAACCGGATGTGTACTGCCATATTGGAGGCCCTATATATGTAGTAGCAGGTTCATTGTAACCTTGAATAGCACTTGAGGAAGACCACTTTATGGTTGAAACGCGTTGTGCAATATCTTTTATTTGTTTTTATTTGTTTTTATACAAATAAATGTTTTTAATGTATCCTGATACTCCTGTCTCCTGACTCCAACTTACTGAGAACATTGAAGGATTTGCCTGAAGAGTGAAGGAATGCGTATGTCCCATTTAAAGTGACATATAAAGCTACATAAGTCCCGAGCCTACTTTAAACGGTTTAGAAAAGTGTGAGTGATTTCAGCTCATAATTTCCTTCTTACTGTGTTTTATATACAGACCACACTATGTTTTCTTTTGTGTTTGTATTTTCTGTATAGGCAATATCCACAGTGTATATACATATTGCATATAAGGAGCAGTTACCTCTTACCAGTTATTTATAACACGTCAGGTAAAAACCTCCTTGTTTAAGTGTGCGCTTTTACCTTTTTTATGTTTTACAGTTGTAGCACTATCCGACCAGATATGGACATGATAATACCTGGTCTACATCTGAAAGGCAATGAGAGCTAGCCAGACAGCCTTCAGAACTATGTAGTTGGATAAGCTTCTCAAAATTCTCAGGCAAATTCCCTGTTTCTTCATATTACCAATATGAGAACCCCAACTGAGACCTGAAGCATCAGACAAAAATTTATGAACGACCTCATCTGGAAAGAAAAGACATCAGACTGCCGGAAACGGGAAGAGGTGTACCAGAAAACAAAAAACTCTGCAGAGCATGCATGACTCGATGCATAGGTATGTCCAAGTTGTACGTTTGCTAGTACCAGAAAGTGCTTCTTTGAAGAGGACTCCTCTTTGCCCAAATGACCGGTGGGATAGAGGCTGCTGCAATAACAACCAGAATCTTAGAAAACACTTTGTTGCTGAGGAATACCAAAGGTAAAAAAGTTCTGAATAATGTAATATTAAGCTTACAGCACCTGAGGATCCTAGTTGGTTTCCCATAGAAGTCCTAACCAGGCCCGAGTCTGGATGGCTTCTGAGATGTGACAAGATCAGGCACTTTCAGACTGGTATGGCCGTAGGCTGTAAGTCGAAGCTTAGGAATATTTGCTGGGTTCTGATTTAAACCTAATTCCATCAATGGTAAGATACGGCTGGCCTCCCATGCAGAAATAAACCATCAGTAAGTCAATTCAGACTATGATACCCAAAGAAAACATGTTGATTGTCTTGAGGATTAGAACGGAAAAGTAAGAACCGTCTGGCATCATTCATTTCTGCCTGGTTCAAAAAGGAATGACAGCAATATTGGAATATTCTGCAAAATCTTTTCAAATTCCACTAGCAAATTTTACTGTGCCTCTGCTACTGAAGAACCTGTAAACTGTGCTATGCATAGAGAAGCTTAAGAGACAAAGTTTCTTTAAAGACAGGAAGAAAAAAAAAAATCAATTTCCCTAGCATCTCGTCTACAGGAGTAGAAGAGAGATTTCAGGTGATAAGATATGAGGGGGTGAATCCCTGGGAACTAACATTCCCTAGAATCAAAACCTTCAATGAGAATGCAAAAAGAAAAACCAAAAAAACAAACAAACCAAAGTTCAAACCAGAACTGTTCTTTGTCAAGCAACAGAGACCACACACCTCAGATAAAGGGAATTATTCATCAGAAGATTCATTAGCATCTTTGTTTAGGCAGTAGAAAAAACACCCTAACCTTTAGGGGCAGGTGCACAAAAAACAATTAGGTGCCTATTAGCCAGCAGTATTGTAGAAAACCAACAAATTTATGAATGGGAACATTTCAGCATAGTGAGAGAATCACAAGCAGCAACTGCCATATAAACAACACAAACCCTGTCATACCGTATCTATGGCAGTGCGGGGTACAAAATGAATATGGTAGAAATGTCCCATGATCAATAGGCCTGCAGCTGTACTAGAACTTGAAGTCAAGTCCAGTAACATGAGGAATACGTATTTTTCCATGGAGGCTACGTCATACAGGTTACCCTCTTTAGTGGCCGAAGAGAGACTATTCTCATAGATAGGTAAGACAATACCCAGGATATAGGTTTGCCTTAGATGTATTTGGGAAGCAGAGGCTTGAGCAGACAGAATGGCTGCAGACTGCATTTCAAAACCTGTTTGATGCAAACTCTGCAGGAACCAATTTTTAGGAAGCATTTCTTTAAATATTGCAATTCCAACAAACAGTCTAGCACAATCCAGGATTTTTAACTGACAATATCGGACTAGGATTTTAAATCAGCCTCCTAAGGATATAATACAGTGGATAATTCTCCAATTGTCATCCAGGACTTGTTGCCTGTGAAGGATTGGTAATATATTCCACAGGAACACTTTACTGTTAAATTACCGAATCTGATGTAGCAATTAGTGATTATTGGAACCCATCATCACTTATTACTGTGTAGCAGCTATTCAAAGCAATAGTAACTAGAATTTATACAATCTCTAACACCCTCTTATCTACACTGCACCCTGCTCGGGCAGTGAGAACAGACACATAGGCTCTACCCCAATATAGCCTATATATCAGTAGAAGAAACCAATGGGACCGATCTACTAAGTGCTGACTCTTTACTGCTCTATTTATGTGATAAGCAGCTAAAAACTCATAGCTTGTAACATTAAACTTAGTATCATATGTGCTTTTTGCTTAACCATCTTAACTGGGTTGGAATATGTTGCACAGATTAACAAACAACAATTCAGGCTAGACTCATTTAAGATAAAAGCAGAAAAGTCTTACCTTAAATGGGCTCCAAGTGTGTTGGAGAGAGGGACTATAATAAAGATATTGGCGGCTGAATTTGAAATCACATTGCGCATGTGTCATGCGTGCCGCAATTCCACGGTGGAAAGCATCGAAACCTGTACGTGTGTTCCACCGCCAGGACTTCCCAGCTAGCGCACCATCGTCTGCCCGGCACCTGGCCTGGTAGAGACGGAAAAAATACTAACAGGGAATATGCAGACATCCGGTGTGCTTATCTCTGGGAGATCTCCAATTTTTTTTTTAAAGAAGCCAAGCCTCAGCCCTCTCACCATACTCCTGGGGAGCAAACCTGACACCCTCCTCTGCTGAAGGCAGGCAAAGAACTGGGGCTGTCCTAGGTAAGAGGCAATTTATAGGTCCAAAGGTTAATTGGGGGAGGTTCTTAAAAAGTTTGGGAGTTGCCTGACTGTTTTTTTCCTCCAGATCAGAAATCCTAGATGTAAAGCATCTCTAATCTGAAGGAAAAAAGTACATAGCAAGCATAAGTGGCTCTCTGTAGGCTGTTTTAATTGATTGGCATGCAGCCTGGCTTGCATGCACAATAGGCTGACCTTACAGTAATATTGGCAGGCCGCCCCCTTTCTGGGTGGGTCTGCCCCATTGTGTGTAAACTGACCATAGATCAGGCTTTGGTACTCTCCCCTCTAACCATAATGAGCTCATTGGTACAGGATAAAAAATAAATATTTTAAAGCATAACATATTAAAAATATAAAATAATGTCTAGGGAGCGTATATTTTACAATATACAATTGGAAGAGTGTGTTCTCTATATTTCATTTTGAAAAAGTGCAGATTTCAATAGGACTTGGCATTTTAACAAATTAACCTGGGTACATCCCCTTGGTTTTTAAACAAACAACATACATTTGTCTAAGCCAAAGAAAATGATTTTTTTAATGTAAGAACAATAAGAATGTGGAATTCTCTGCCTGAAGAAGTGTTTTTATCAGAGTCCATATAGGTGTTCAAACAGCAACTAGATGCATACTTGCAAAAACAGAATATTCAAGGATATAATTTTTCAATGTAGGGTAATAGCTTCTTGATCCAAGGATAAATCTAACTGACATTCTGGGGTCAAGAAGGAATTTTTTTCCTAGTTTGTTGCAAAATTGTAAGTGCTTCAAACTGTTTTTTTGCCTTCTTTTTGGATCAACAGCAAAAAACAAAATGAGAGGAAGGCTGAACTTGATAGACACAAGTCTCTTTTCAGCTATGTAACCTATTACTTCCTGGTTTTGTTAGCTCAGTGGAGCTAAGCTCAAGAGGCAGAAATAGTTCTGAGCACCTGCCTTGTAAAGACTTCTCTTTGAGCTGCATTAGGAAGTGTATGACTGGAGAGCCACAGAAAGTCTGGGCAGTATTAAAAGGTCTTTGCAAAGGCTGAACTGCAAGTTTTGTAAGCCGTTTTTAGATATACCACAATGAATAATTAAAAGTTTTCATTTGGGGTATATCAATTAAACAGTGATTTTTATTTATTTAGTGGAGTGTCCCTTTAAGCAGCAGTAAGTATGTTAGTTCACCGCTGGTGTTTCCCACCTACAAATAATGCGGAAAAACTACAAAAGCATGCACACTTCAACTCGCTGGCCTTCTTTGAGTGCTGACTTTCAGATAGGATGTCCACCTTTTTTATACCTCCAATATTACTCTCTGTTTATTATATTCACTTGTGAGTGGTGTCCTCTACTACTGGATCGATTATCTTGCAGCTTCCAGTTGCGCAATCTTAACACGTCATTTCCGGATTCATATAGGATCTTTTCTGGATCTTTTGTTGTGTTCTTTAGTGAAAACTCAATTTTTGCTGTAGGCAAATGTCCAGTATTAAATAACTTAGTCCTCCAATAACTATACTTTATTAATAATAAATGTTAAAGGGACACTATAGGCACTTAGACCACTTCATCTCATTGAAGTAGTTTGGGGGCACTGTCCTGTCTCTTTAACCCTGCAATGTGAAAAATTGCAGTTTCATATAAACTGCAATGTTTCAATTGCAATGTTAAGACTGCCTCTAGTGGGTATTTACCAGACAGCCACTAGAAATGCTTCCTGTTGTTTCACAGAGTTTAAATCTGTGAAACAACGTTGGATGTCCTCACGTTGTACATGAGGACATCCAGCATCTTCAAATCCTCCATAGGAATGCATTAATTCGATGCTTTCCAATGGGGAAGGCTTAATGGGGCGCTTGCTGCACATGTGCATTAGGTTCCCTTTTCCAGTGAAATAGGCGGAGGCAGAGACATGCGTAGCAGATTTATAACTGCATGCATAGCAGATTTAAAAGCCCTACATTTAAGAACTCATGCCTTGCAATTGGACATCCTCCAAGAAGATATGGCATGTTTCAGCAGAATTTGTGATTTCTTACAGAGTTATTCACTCAAGTGAGAACTCAAGGTGATTTCAAAGTCAATTTCCAATTTAAGTTTAAAATAGCTGTACTGCGGGGGCGTGGCTGACCGCCGAGCAAGATGGCCGTGTAAGGATTTGCTCCGGCACATGGGCTCCATAAATAACAACTAATTGTAAGCAGAGATCCCACCTAACATCGCTGATCACCATGTCACAACCTAAGGCAAAGAAATCTATGGCAAAAACTGCTAAAATTGCCTTTTTCGGGCAAAAAACAACGCACACCGAATCGGCGCTGCCCGCGCTCCAAGATGGCGGCGAGGACACGGATGTGGAAGCCGTCTACCAAGCTACAGAGGGACCTCGTCTGCAGGACTGCCTCACGAAAAGCCACTTCGAAAAGGCCATGGACACTATGTCTAACACCCTGATCACTACCTGGAAAGCAACAGCAGACCAAATAAGGCAAGAAGTGAGAGACCTGTCGGGCAGGACTTCCAGGGTGGAACAAAGCTGCAAAGACCTGGCCTCCATGCAGACCGAAATGGAAGACCAAGTTCTGACGCTGCAACACCGACTGGAGAACATGGAGGCACAAATGGCGGATTACGAGGACAGGGCGAGGCGGAACAATCTGCGGCTACGCGGAGTCCCGGAATCTGTCTCCCAGGACGATCTGCCACTCTTTGTAAGAGGCCTCCTGCACGCATATGCGCCGGACATCCCGGCGGACATGCTCTTGGTAGACAGAGCACATAGGATCCCGAAGCCCCGGCACCTACCAGACTCCACGTCCCGCGACGTCCTCATCAGAGTGCATTTTTACCATATTAAAGAACTCATACTCAAAAGACACCGCAGCAAACCCAGCCCGCATGACGACTTCCCAACGGTGCGCATGATGGCGGACCTCTCCGCGGCCACCCTCAGGAGGCGCAGGGAATACCAGAACGTTACCACGGAGCTGAGAAGCCGGGGGATTAGGTACCGATGGGGCTTCCCCACCAAGATAATTGTTACACGAAATGGAGACACTACCATCATAACTAGCCCAGAAGAGGGCATGAAGAAGCTGGAAAACTGGGGCCCAAAAAACCCTGGGCCTGGGACAACTCGCCGTCCCCCTAAGCAGGGGCGCAAACCACAAGAGGACTAATTTATTTGCCTAACGAACTGCTGCCCATGAGAAGCCGCAAGTATAATGCATAGCTCTAATCTTTTGAGTTATTCATACCGTATATATAGTTTCATGTTTATTTACCAATGGCTACCTTAACCCTAGTGATTGACCTGAATGGGACCGTAGGCTTACTGCTGGGCGGGTGCCCTGTGCCCTCTAGCTGGGAAATGCTGACTAGATAATGATATGCTGGTGCACACCTAGGGCGCTTAACATACTGACACGCAGGAGGAGGTGAGGGTCTCCTCACGACGACATAAATATCCCGCTTGGCCACCCCAGAGGTGACCACCACTAGTGGTCAGCCGTCTAGCCCCAGCATATGCTGGGTATCCCAGCAGACCAACCAACGCCCCGACATAATGGGCATTAACTGACTAAGTCTGGCCGCAATCCCTATTAGACCAAAAACTGAGTGACCCACATCGGCCCATGGATGGTGGGGTGGCCCGCAAACATCCCTTAGGCACTTAAACAGTAGCCACCAATGGGCAATGCCTGTCTGAAGCGGGACATAATTGTTAGCCCTCAGACTGACGATTCAGTGATGTCATCACCCAACTACATACTAGCCGCAAATCCATACTGCTAGCATAATGTACAACAGCCTACACCCGCCACAGCATTGTGCTTACTATGGTAATAGATACTGTATATGATCATGGTAGCATACTCCTCACAGTTACGATGTTTAAATGTTCTACTGTAAAGTTATGTGTTTAATCTGTTCCAAAAATCTCTGCATACCCACCTGCTCTAAAATGGGGCCCAGACAGCCACTGACTGGTAGTCTAGACTTCCAACCCCCCAAGGTGTGACAGACACACTGGACCTAATTAGGTCGTGACCCCCTACCTTCTAACTGCGACCCCCCAACCCACCCGCTCAGAGAAACCTTAGGCAGCATCTCCCTCTGACCCCCTGACCAGTCAGGCCGCTAAGGGCTACTGCCCACAATTTCCTGTTGCCACCATGAAAATTTATAAACACACCCCACAAAAGACGCATACTATTGGACGACCTAAAACGCAATAAAGCAGACATAGTCTGCATCCAAGAAACACACTTTGCCCACAACCGAATCCCCTCATTCGCCATACGGGACTACCCCCACCAGTTCCACGCCACCCACTCTTCCAAATCCCGGGGTGTTTCCATTTTCTTTCACAGCTCCCTAACTGTAGAGCCCCTGCAAGTCAAACTAGACAAAAATGGCAGGTTTGTAATTCTACACTGCCTAATAAATAACCAACAACAACTTCTTACATATGGTTCTCCACAATCTGCCAGCTGACACCAGCGCCCAAGTCCTAATGTGCGGAGACCTCAACCACACTATGGACTCACGCATAGATTCCACTGTCCCACTGACATCTGCCAGACATGCCTCACTCACACGCACCAACAAAGCTCTTACGAAACTACTACAATATCACGGCCTCTATGATGCTTGGAGGACGTTACACCCACAGGACAGAGAATACACATTCTACTCACAAGTCCACAAAACATACTCCAGGATCGACCACGTCCTATTGACTGGACCCCTTCTACAACAAACTACAGAATGCTCCATAGGGAACATAGTGTGGTCAGACCACGCACCTGTCACAATATCCCTCCGAGACGCATACCAACACAGAGGCAAACCTCCGTGGCGTCTGAATGACTCCCTTTTAAAAGATGCACCCTTTGTACGACAGTTAACCGATCACCTACATGAATACTTCGACTTGAACGACACGACTGAAGTCTCCGTAGCGACGCTCTGGCAGGCCCACAAATCGGCCATAAGAGGGCCCTTGATAAGCCGAGCTTCTTACTTACACAAAAAAAGGGAGGGAGAATACATCAGCCTCTTGAGACAACTCCGTGACACAACAAATGCCCACCTCTTCAACCCAACTGAAGCACAAGCCAAATCCATTGCAGACCTCACCGCCCAAATCAATGCCATAGCCCTTCACAAAACAAACTATATGTTAACAAAGCTGAAGATCAAATCATATACTCAAGGCAACAGAGCAGGTAAACATCTGGCAACATTACTGAAACACAAACAAGCGAACTCCAAAATCCCCTACTTAGTCACGAAAACTGGGGTGAAAATTCACAACCCGCAAGAAATCAATGACGAGATGGCCGAATATTACCATACACTCTATAATCTGAAAAACGACCCAACCACACACCAACCCACAGCCCAGGGAATAGACAAATACCTTCAACAAACCACCCTGCCCACCCTCTCAGAGGCCCAATCCCAACTCATACAGCACCCCATCTCCACACAAGAGATTCTAGACACTATCCAAGGACTCCCGACAGGGAAGTCCCCCGGCCCTGATGGCCTATCTAACGCATACTACAAACGATTTGCACAAATACTCAGCCCATACCTACGGAGATTATACACTCACATACTCAGCACCGGCATCATGCCCCCAGAAATGCTAATGGCTCATGTCGCCACACTCCCTAAGCCCGGGAAACCGCCAGACAGGTGCCAAAATCTGCGCCCTATCTCCCTCTTAAACACTGATGTAAAACTCATAGCCAAGATACTATCAAATAGGTTAGCACCAGTCATCCCATCACTGATCAAAGAGGACCAGGTAGGGTTTGTAAGTGGCAGACAGGGGGCACTCGCAAAGTCCTCGACATTCTCAACGGGCTGCGAGGGGGGAGGGCCCCAAGCGTGCTTCTCTCTCTGGACGCAGAGAAAGCTTTCGATAGGCTGCACTGGCCCTTTCTCCTCGCAGTCCTCCGCAAGTTTAATTTCCCCCCCACATTCATCTCCCTCATTACAGCTCTCTACTCTGCACCTACTGCCCGAGTAGTCAATGGGGGATTCATCTCCAAACCGTTCTCTATATCCAACGGATCCAGACAGGGCTGCCCACTATCCCCTCTCCTATACATTTTAGCATTGGAACCCTTCACGCAAATGATTAGGGATGACCCAAATATCCACGGAGTTAAGATTAAAGGCCGCGAATATAAATTGTATCTGTTCGCAGATGACATCCTATTAACATTAGAACAACCACACACCTCCCTTCCAAATTTCCATGCCCTCCTCGCCAAATACAGCCGGTGCTCTTGTTATAAATTGAACATAACAAAAACCTTAGCCTTGGGAATCAATATCCCCAAACAGGAGATGGACCAACTTAAAACTAACTTCACATATGACTGGAGGCAAGACCACAATAAATTCCTAGGGGTCAACTTCACTCCCACGCCAACATCATTGTATAAATCGAATTACCTCAAGCTGCTCACGGATCTTCGAGCTCTCCTACAAGGATGGAAAGGGAAAATTGTCTCCTGGGTTGGACGCATAGCCTCGGTGAAGATGATAGCTTTACCGAAAATACTTTATCTTTTTAGAACCCTCCCGATTCGTCTCTCCTGCACCTACATTCGAGACTTACAAAACCTACTCATCACTTATGTATGGGAAGACAAAAAACCACGGCGAAATCTACTCTATACGGCACAATAGCACAGGGAGGCATGGGAATGCCGAACATAATGGGGTACTACAGAGCAGCAATGTTAGCACCCATACTAGCGACTTCCCCACAACGAGAACCGAAAGCTTGGGCCACAATAGAAAAAGACTATGCGAACGGCATACACATCTCGACTCTGGCCTGGCTACCGAAAAATAGCTTAACAAAACAGAATGAACTGTTGCCCACTACTAAGCTCACTCTCTCCATATGGAATGCCTACAAAAAGCGGATGACTAATCCCGACCAACTCTCGCCCGCTCTCAGCATAAACGCCTTGCAACACCTCATACCGAATTTTAACCATTCTCTCTGGCATAGACATGGGATCAAATCGATGTCGCAACTACTGTGTGACACGCACTTAAAGACATATCAAGAGCTGGAATCGGAATTCGCCCTACCCTCGATAGCGAAATACTCCTATATGCAACTGAAGTCATGGTTCGACAAAAATATGAAACAGCCACCTACCATTGCATTGAACGCAGACTGGCGGAACGTAGAAAGACTTTACCTATCGCCAAAACTGCCCACCAAACTTATATCCGCGATCTACCTTTCTGAAAATGACCAGCATCAGAAAAAGCAACATACCCACATAGTGGCATGGGAACGAGATTTCGGACGGCGACTCTCAGAAGCCCAATGGCGACGCATCTTCCGGACGCACCAAAAAATGACCCTTTGCGCAACCCACTTAGAACTGGCATGGAAGGTACTATACAGATGGTATTTAGTCCCGACACGCCTAAAGCGCTACTTCCCCAACTCGTCTGACACCTGCTGGAGATGCAGCGGAGACAGAGGCACCATGCTGCATACCTGGTGGCAATGCCCAGAGCTCCAACAGTTCTGGCAACAGGTGGCAGAATTAACAGCGCACTGCATCGACACAAAATTACCACACCAACCTGAGACTTTTCTACTCCTCCAGTTGCCACACAAACTGAAACTACACCACCGATACCTAGCCTACCACATCATCATAGCCGCTCTAACGACCATTAGCAGGAAGTGGAAACAAACCTCTCCGCCCACCATTGCACAATGTGTCCAAGCAGTAGACACAAACAAAACATAAGAAACTATGGCAAGGGGCACATATGAAAAGACGTCATACTGGTCTCTGGCTTGGGAGATTTGGGAGACCCGCAAGTCTACCCACACCGACAAACGCACAAGGACACGGGATCAACACCCTAACCCCTAGACCAGAGTCGTAGGTCACCACACGAACCTCCACCGGTCAGGCACACCTAGGTCTAAGACCCTAACTCGGTGAAGCCTATCTCTGAGGACCATCCCTCCTTCCTCCCCCCCCTACTGACCCACGACACCTTTCCCCCTTGAACCATAAACGACCCCCGGTAGCGGCCATTAGATAGGCACCTGCAACCCGAACACACGCAGCCGAACACACCAAAAGAAGCCAGTAACCTATACTCTTTGACGGAC